ATTAGATGATATCTTACAAGGGGTCTTTCAGGACATGGAGCGTTTTTCAAAATGGTTTTCTGAATGTTGTAGAGGCTCATGTGAGGAACACAGAACCATGGTCCATTTTTCCTGAACGCCCCAGGAATGTCAAAACAGCGGGGAAGAAATGGTCCAAAGTTCGATCCTCCGTGATGACAAATTTTTGCAATTTATGTTGGCGCCTCCAAATTGCCGCAAAACACGACAATGACATCTATTCTCGACGATGGCGCCATTTGGCGGCAATCTGGGGCGCCAAACTATATTGCAAAAATTAGTCATCACCGGGGATCGAACTCTGGACCATTTCTTCACCACTGTTTTGACATTCCTGGAGGCGTTCAGGAAAAATGGATCATGGTTCTGTGTTCCTCGCATGAGCCCCTACAACATGCAGAAACCATTTCGAAAAAGCGCTCCATGTCCTGAAAGACCTCCCTTTAGAGCTATATTTGGAGACCACCTACCAGAAGTTGGGTCAAATAATCCCATCATTTAAACAAAAATCTTTCTAATGGATCTTTTAGCTTCCGGAATGCGATTCGCTAAGCCTAAACTAATAAATTTTCTCAATCTCGTGGAGAGGTCCACAGAAGAAAATCCCACAATTGAACTTTCCCTTTGACTAGCCAACTCACCGAAAAAAAAAGTTAGTGTTTAGCGCAGATTTAGAAGAGAAAAAAGGTAGGAATCATGAGCGCCAATCGACATTTCCGTTTCTTGAAACCGAACGGACACACTCAAAGAGTCTGACCCCCCATCCGCCATCGTACAAGTCCTGGTGAACGCAAAGATCCCTTCCTTTTCTGCTGCGCTTCTCATCCCATTAACGTTCTTTGTGGTCAAGGTTTTTGCACATTTTCAACTATGTCGTGCCCAAACTGGTCGCGTTTCTTTACTACTCATTCGATAACGACTGCCAACATGAATCACCTTCTTATAGGTCCGTGTATCAAATCAGCGACTTCTCTGAATGAGTTCCCCCGCTAACTGCTAGAAAACCCACTACTCCGAAATGGGATACATGGGGAAGGATGGCGCGAGACACACCCTTTACCGATTCGCATTTCAATTTTTTTCACATTTAGTGATTCCACGCATTTCGAGACCGTGTTGACGATTCGACTCGTTTCCCCAGCACAATCTACAGACAATTTGTACACATTTTTGAATTTTATGCGCATATCAACAGACATTTTAAGCTCTGCACTGCACCCTTTCACCAAGGCAATTCCTTGTGGCTATTACAATCACCTTAAACAACTAATTTTTGCAGGTTTCATGTGTCATACCACACCTAGTACTTCCTTGACTCCCCCTTCCCCTATAATGTCATTTCCACTTTAGATTTATCCCAATTTCTGTTAGATAAATCCGCGCCGATGGTCAGGACATCTGTCAACCGGTGAGCCCTTTGCAGTTAATAGCGTCTGTATGATGTCTGGGAACTCTCACAAGTGCACACTATCACAGCATCTCCTCTTTCTTTATCTTCTTCAGAAGGCTTAGTCCCAATGAGACACAAAGCGTGGGCTTTTCCAGCTACGCTCTCACCCTTTGGTTACAGAATCCTTGTACCAGGGTCAAGCGTGCGTTGAGGAATCCTCGACACGTCGCAGGGGGGGGGGTCGTATTGGCCCGCTGGGTGGAAGAGATCGAGCCATTTTGATGCAGTGGGATCATCACCGCCGGAAGACAAATATCAAGGATGAGTCGATGCCAGGCCAGAGGATTTCCAATGAAAATGATATTTCACCCACACAAAATTTTCGTGATTCTGAGGCGTCCGGTAATTCTTAGTTACTTCAGTGTTTTATCACCACACAAGTTAAAGAATCTGAATTTCGCACGCTTTCCAAGAGATATTTCATCTTTCAAGTAAGACCCCGAATCTGAAGGGATGTGAGGTACACGGCGCATCCGAGAAAGGGTCTAGTTGTTGCGCGCGCTTCAACTACGGCTCCTTGGACAAACAACCTCAATTCAGGAACAATCGAGAGAATTCTGAAAGTGTCCGTGCGCATTTACAGGGAGGTGTACACCATTCAACATTGCGTTAACGGACTCTTCAGGGTTAAATTTATAAACATGTAACCTTTAAAGTTGAGAAACGCTAATCAATCACTTTTCTTAGAAAGAGAAAAGCAGTGATTCCAAATCTGCTCTTACTTTAGTACATAATCGCCCTTAAAAGGATATACAGCCGTTGAAATAGTGCCAATGTAGCGAAAAAGTACCTTTCGGCGGTACTCGTGCAAAATCCTCAACGTAGCCGTTTTTTTAATACTGGACGTTTGGAGCAGTTCTAGTAAGCATTTGATAGAGCAAATCTTCTAGTTTATGATGGCGTATTTACTTTTCGGATTGGATGAGTTTGAACGGAGTTATGGCTTTAGGAAGTAAAAAAACTCGCACTCATCACAAATTTTCCTCGTTAATTTTGCGAAAATCCTCAACGTGGCCATTTTTTCGAATACTGGACGTATAGAGCTGCTTTAGCAACGGTTTGGTAGAGAAAATCTTCTAGTTTTGTCTGCCATATTAACTTTTCGAATTTGACGAAAATGAAGCAAGTTGTTGCTTCGGAAAGTGTAAAAACTCGTGCTCATCTCGAATTTTCCTCGTTAATTGATCTAAATTTGTTATTTCTTATAACTTTTGTAATTTCAATACTGATTAGAAAGAAGCTCTTCACAAAACTCCCAAATCTGCTTTCAGATTGAAAATTCGTCATATTTGAAGAAAGTTATAATCATTTGAATATTTGTTCAAATTTCAATAGTAAATAAGCTGCTCCACGGTCAACGCCAAAGTCCAGTCAACACACAGCTGGCGAAGGCTTTTACAAGGCGAAAGGGGGACGTGTAAATTGAGAACCATAATCTGTGTAGTACTAGAATTTGGTAAGTTGTGAGGAAATAAATAAAGAAGAGATGTTGTCATAGTATGCCATTTTTAGTGGCTAGTTTGTCGTTTTCTGGTCTGTTTCTCGTTTGCTCGTTTGGTAGGACTCATCAATAATGATTATTCTTTGACTTTTTCACTTTTGTACTTCTTAAACGAATTTTTTTTGTGGGCGGTGGGGTAGCAGGGCTTTTTTATGAGCAGTTTTGGGGGAGAATTAAACAAGCTTTTCAACCTTTTCATAGTTCGGCTTTTGAAGAGGGTTGTTTCATGGACTTCGGCCTCCGGCGGAGGGTGGTGGTGGGGGGGGGTCGTATTTCCAAATTTTCCTCAACGCCTCGCTTGACCCTGCTTATAACCCGCGCCGATATCACGTAAAAACACCTCCGCTGGTGCAGTGCACTTGCGTACATCTAGAGACAACCGTAACTTGCCCATAGGGGTAATTCGATATGCTGATTACGAAAACGACATTCATTTTTAGCGGTGGCGCCATCTGGCGCCAGTTGGCGTCACCTTGTCACGACCCTTGTTTTCACCAAAATCGGTGTAAACTTCTGTATAGGGTTATTTGGTGCCCTGATTACGAAATATGACATTCGTTTTTGGCATTAACGTTGTTCAACGCATATTTCTCGGTTGGAGAGCGCAGACGAGCAGAAAATAGGCGCCAAATAGCGCCAGCGCCGTGAATGTCATATTCGTAATCAGGACACCAAATAACCCCTATACGGAAGTTTACACCAAATTTGGTGAAAACAGGTAGTTTCTAAGTGTACAAACGTCATTGCATGAGGGGAGGTGTTTTTGAGTGATATCGGCGCTGGCCTATCTATCGGAGAAAAGGAGGTTTGATTACAATTTTCAGCCATTAAGCATTTGCTAGCTAGCAAATGCGTTTCGGATTGGATACAAATCTTTGCCGCGTCAAAAACTTCCGCTTTCACCTGCATCAGCCTATGACAAATGGGAAGCAGACCAAAAATAAATTGTGAGAAACACTACACAACTATTAGCATGTGAGCAGTCTACTCACATAATAATAGTTGTAGAAAGGCCGACCAAATGGAAACAGTACCTCAAAAACAGCTATCGACGTAGCCAGCAATAACAACAGGATCAGGAATGTGGAGAAAAATACGTTTGCACATCGCCCGGACGACCGCTGCGTCACGTCATCAGTGCGCTGAACGGCTCCGTTTCTGGCAGTAGCGGTTGCCTGAAATTATTAAACCTTGAGAAAAGAGGAAGATGTAAATTTACTTTGGAACGAACCGTTCGATTAACAACCCTTTCTTCGGAACTCGATGATGAAGGGCTCCCTATGACAGGGATGCCTGGCTTGTCTCGTAACACTGTGTCCTCTTTTGATTCATCAGGTTCAGGCTGAAAAAGCATATAGAGGAAGAAGTCGCAGAGATAGCTACTATAGATCCTCACAGACAACACAACTCCATTCATAACAGCACTTGGCGAGCAAAAGAAAAATACTCAAAAAGAAGCAAGAAAAAATAAGCAAGAAATTATTTGTGCAAAGCAATGAGACTTTTAGAAGATTAACAGAAGCCACACGAAAGAACTGTCCGGAAAAAAAAGAAGCAAGGAGTCCTAAACATTTAGATAGGAGCTATAGGCTGGCTCCTTAAGTACTATACGGCTATACTACAAGAAATCGAATAGGTCGTACCGAAACCGTTGGGCTACGCTCGTACTTGACCAAACGCACGGTGAACGAAGTCTGAAAAGAGCCGCAAGACTGAAATACAAGATGGCCTCCGTAGTGGATGGCCGCCAGATCATCTATCAAATTAGATGGGAGCATCATTTTTAGGTTCCTTCTTGCATATCAAGTGAGCATGGGCCACATTCAGGCGTATTTTGTTCTATGTTTGCGATTTGTTCACGGAACGTGGCACCTAACCCGTATTACTTATGGTTAGTTTAAAACACAGCCTCGAAGCGAAAGTTCCCCCTATAGTTCTTTCGCCTGAACAATTTGCGCAACAACATAGAAGTAGACAGGAAACCACGTTCTTTTCTAGTCGTTGAACACCCAAATGACAGATTAGCGCCTTGGTGCCGAAATGTGGCCCTAATTACAGAGGGTTGTCAGATTGGAAGGAACAACGTGCACATGAGGGCTGAATTGCACTTCAACACCAAAAAGGAACACTTTGTTAACGTAATTTTCATAACATATAATTGCCACATTGTGGGCATTGCCCCTAGACGGAATCAACGAGATGCAACAAAACCTAACCTCTCAAAAACAAGTTAATTATTAACGAGTTTCAAAATGTTTATTGTAAACAATCGCCAGACAATTCCCCAATATTCCTAATCTACACCTTAGCTTCCATTACAATTACAGAAACTTGAAGTCAAAATCCCGTCACACGAGAAGTGTTAAAGGGAAATCCAGCCTGAGAGTCGTGTAAGTGTGGTTAATGCACACTCGCAACAAAACACGCAAAAGCACAACACTGATAGGAAGCCAGCGCACCATCCAGAAATAGTGAACAGACCCACCACGTTATTTTTTCGTCTATAAAATCTCACCACGTTCTCATTTCGTTTGTCAGCACTGTCCTGTGTTGTAGCCACACTTACAGTCGACTGTCTATTTATTGTCTCGTCGGCAATCGAGGACGGTGTAGCAACTGACTGCGGAACGGAAACTGCGGCATCGACGTCAGTGGCAGGGGCATCCACAGTTGTTGCACTTATGACTTAAAGGTTGAAGGTGCATTTGTAAAGGTATCTTGTAACTCAATGCAACTGAAGCTATCTCACCTGTGGCTACTTTCTCGTCCATATTTTCATCCCTTTTACTGATCTCGTTGTTATTATGATTCAGTTTCATGTTCGGTAAGGTATTATACTTGTTAAGCCATGGCTGCTCCTTACGAGGTTCTTGGCGAGGCAGTTCGAAACGTACAAATGCAGGCCTGAAATAAATGCTCAATAAGAAAACACCAAACCTGAAATAGATGAGACAATTGGCGGAACAACGCCTTTTGCCTCTCCTCCATGGTTTGAAAAACAACCGCGCAGAAACAGAAAAAAAATGCCGGAGCAACATTAGCAATGAACACTGACCCATTAGCAGTGACTTCACTGTCCGAAGCAATGTCGGTATTTTCAATTTCACGTAAAACTCGACGCGAGGGGTACCGGAATGTGGAACCTCTTGAAAGAAGCGGAATACGAGGTCTGAAAAAAGTGAATTAAAAAATTTCAGTTGGCAGATTTGAAAAAAATCCTGGAACTTTTACTGTATTCAGCAAATAACGTGATTAAGAGAAGCTGAACATACGCTCACCAGAAAAAAAATCAGAAATCAAGATGTAACCTCCTCTCTTCAAGTGAGATGCTTTCATCAAAAAAGATACAGATTTGTTGTGCTGGATCTATTACCAGTAAGTTAAGAGACGCATTTACTTACTACCGAAAGTGAGACTGGAACCAAAATAGAAAGAAAGCGTGGTCCTATTATTGGGAAAAAGAGACCACCACATGAGCTTCTTTATACTACAGTACTCTCCAGCTACATATGAATGATCTTTCCCTCGGACGTGTATAGTGTGACAGTACTCCTCAGGTAGGTGATATCCCCAAAAAAAATCTCAAACAAAGCCTGAGCAAGCTCTGTTAGTAAAGCATTCCCTTTCAAGAGCACCATCAGTCGCTAAAACACCACTGGACCCTTCACTTCGCCATTCCATGCAGCATTCACCCGGCCCGTAATTCTTAATTCACACTCGGTCGCTCCACAGATATCGGGAATCACCTACTTTGATATTTCCGCCATAGTGGCCCACGATCGACACTGTACCTCTTCGGAGCTCACACTCTTTTTTCCAACCGAGCTTTCGAAAAAAAATCACGGGGAAGCTCCCATAGCTTACAATTTTCTACCAAAAAGATGTGAATAAAAGTTAGTCGAAATACATATTTCAGACAGATAAAAAACAGTAGAGAACAACAGCTGACAGAAAAAAAGCAGAAAAAAAACAAGGAATTCTTATAGAAAGACGTTTGAAACCCTCGAATTTCCGCTCAGATGCCGACCCCTTTACTTTGTAATAGGAGCTTACTTTGAGAATTTCGGTTTGATCATGAGAGCGCTTTGCTCGTTGAAGAATGCCTGTTGACTCAAGATGTGATTCCACAGGTGTTTCGCGAAGGTACCAGATGGACAATGATATTTAAGAACCAGACGAGGTTTGCGATCCTTAAACAAAAAAATGTTATACACATTCAGTTATCCAGGAACCAATCTAAAAGGAACGAAGTCGTTAAAAAATTGAGCACTGTTTACTCTTTATTTACTCCTCGAAACTGAGCCGCATTATAATCGGAATTCGTCCATGGCTAAGGATTGCCTCAAACATTGTCTCCAGGAATTTTTCTACCCGGAGAAGGCTAATATCACATTGGTTTGGCGCGAAAACGCGTAGTGGCACCCGCGCTACAGGCGCTCGCGCCACCACATCAGTTTTGCTCCGGCGCCTGTAGCACAAGCTACAGGCTCACTCGCAACGAACTAATGTGATATTCATGTTCTAATGGTCAAACCACCCCTGACGAAGGCAACGAATTCGGTGATCCAAGGTGTTCTGACGCGATAAGGCGTAGGGGTTGTGGCGTAGGCGCCAGGTGTTTTCACGCCAAACGAATATAATATCGTGTCTGTGAATCGAACTACCGTCCGGTGCAACTTTCTCGCTAAATTCTCAATCATGGAAAAATTTCGATGAAAATCATGCTTAGTTTCGTAGCAGTGGGGCAGCAAAGGGTAAATAGAGCTTTTATGTAACACTGATTACCTTGTGCTTTTTATCATTGTTATCTTCAATATCACCGCTACAATTTGGTGGAACATAGGCGTCCATGGGATAGATGTACACTTCCTTCCCAATGTAGTCTACCTTTGAGAGGTATGACCTAAATTAAAAATAGCGTCCTACACATTTTGCAACTCTTCTGTGTAGATTTTAAAAGGTCAAAAAATCAAGACGTGATTGGACACAATTTTCATGAAAACAAAAAAAAAAACAAATGAACACGAATCTCATTAAGCACTAATTATCCTTAAAACTCACCATGGAATATGATGCACTTTTTGATTAGCGTGGTAAATTAAGATGCCTTTATGCGACACTCCCAAATACACAGCATGAGATGGATCTTTCGGGTCCTGAAAAGAACGATAGAAAGCTCTGAAATGCCATTTTCTCAGCCATTATTACCTACCTTTACGGTATATATGGATCGAAGCCATAGGTATCGAGACGGCTCGCCTTCTCCAAAAATTCCAATTCGGCCGCCGAGGTCGATTTACCTCTAAAATAGTACATAAATGTTTATTTATTTATTTATTTATTTATTTATATTCTATACGTCCAGTGGACGCGCGCTTGGACAGAGCATATTCGAATAGAAATACTATCAGACGCTAAAAAGGCAGCAGTCGTCCTCAGTTGAGTCACAATAATTGATGGGTCAACGTCCGACTTAACCAACTTGTAAAGGATAAAAACGAGAGAGGGGGCAGTTCAAAAGATTCCTTGAGTATTTTTTTTTTTCGACTCTGGGTCATACACTAGGTATCAGTGATTTGTGTACAGATTTGGAAGTAAAAAAGAGCATGCCATGAGCAATAAGGTTAGTGCCTCAAAGATAACCCTACTGCGAGGCCGCAAGCCCTACTCAAGATAAAATGTTGCGAATTTTATCTTGAGAATTACGCCCAGGGAACGGAATGTCGCGTTTGCTGGCGCTATTACTAGGAGAATAGTCAGGAAAATGAGAACGTGAGATATTTCTCCATATAAGAACATCTTGAAACGCATAAGCAAAGCAAAAGTTTAATTCATAGTTATCCGCCAAAATTCGATTTATGGTGGAGGGAGGCTTGGAGATACGACTACCCAGCGGGTGAAACTGTGCTATTAGATATCGTGCACTGGTACATTGTGTATTATGCGCCGCTATTACGTAGGAGTATCGCTTCATTCGACTTTTTTTTTTAAGCTGCCTGGGGTGTTCCTGAACCATAAAATCAAATGTGTCCATCAAATTGCTCCCCAGTGGAGCATATCAGCCGTACTAATGATTAAAAATGGGAAGACCACCAATAAATTCGCGTAGCTAAATGTGCTGGATCTAAACGCTAGACGGCTATAGCAAAGAATGCACTTGAAACGCTGTCAGAAAAATTACGGCAGATCGCATAAAGATTTCTTTTCGCATTTTATATGTGCTCTAGGCACTATAACCATATCCATTCAACGTCGCACACCATCACGTTTTTGCAATGGCTGCAATCAAACGATACGTTTTGTTAGATGCAGAATCGTCGTCTGTTTTGCGCAGTATTTCTGCTTCTTTTCATAGCAACCGATAGCCTTTGTACCTACCGTAATGACTTATGTATTTCTGCAATTCTTTCTTCCAAACGCGGAGTCTGCTTCAGCAGGCAACTTATACTGAGATACATAGTTGTCGACATGCACAGATTCGGTTGTAATCACCCAGTTGTGCTGAAAAGTGTTTTGTTTTTTATGCCATGAGAAGATGATTGTCACATCTCACCCTGTAGAATGAGAGCTGCCAACTCAGCTGACTGATTTTGTGGACAATAGAGGCGCCCATGCAGCAAGTCGCGCTGTAACTGCATGAACAGCTGGTATCTGCAATAGTAATCAAGATAGAAGGCGATTCCATAACAGCAAACACTAAGCAACTACAATGCTTGCTTCTTTGATAACTAGGAGCATGACTAATAGTTTATTTCTGCTTCTCCAATTAAAGGATCGTGAAATAATTTCTTTTCGTTCCAAAACCTATAAGCTACTCATATACTGGCAAAACGACACTGCAAATATTTGAGTTGGGCGGAATTTCATCGAAGATTACCGCTAGTAAATAACACTGTGTGAAAGGGCAAATAAAGCTCGAACATGATCGATAGCAAAAGCAAACTGACAACGGATTTCATATTATTGGTAAGAAATCTCGAAAAAGATTCGACGTTACACACACCGTTCCAAATAGTCAAAAATAGGCATGTTATTAAAAGCATAAAAAAGATGAGTAAAGGACAAGTAAGTCCTTGTTTTTGATTCCCTTGTTTTAAAATTCGTCACTGGTGCCAGTAATTTATTTTCTCAAACAAGATTTATCCGATCAGTCTTCGAGAGAGGTGGAAAGTCAAGATTATTCGGAAAATATTCTACGTAAAACGCGCTAAACAACATGATTAGAGAGCAATGTTCCGGATATGACGGTTGGAGTAGCGGCGCACTCCGTCAGTGCCCCTTTATCACTCTTTATCGACGAATATGCAAATAGCGGAATGGGTACTAATTGCAAAGCACTCGGAATCAAATGAAAAAAAGACTTATAGCACGATTTTAAAAGACTGAGCGATAAATGTCAGGGTAGGGTCGAGAAATTTATCAGAATGACTGGTTTAAAAAAAGCTGGACCAAATTCTTGCATTTTGATGACCACTGTGACCTAGTACTAAAACGGTAATTCGCAGAATAGGAAGATTTTGGGTGCTCAAATAACTTTAGTAACAATTCCAAGAACTTCTAACGAAGTTGATGTCACATCCAGACGTGTAGTTTTTCTCAGAGGCGGCGACTCTCATTCTATTTCATAGCTATGTAACACGCTCTCTACCCGAGCAGTTTCTTTGGCTTCCCATAGCTTCGCTGTTTTCCAATGAGCTTACCCTTATGCATACCTACCGATTACCTACAGATTCTCTTTTCTAGAAAAAAAATTCTCTTCTCATCCCTACCGACTGGGAGTAGCGCTATCAGATCTGGTGGTAGATTGGAGAGTAGCCTGTCAACGGACAGGAACGAAGGTTTATTTTTCAAGCATTCATTACACACTTCTTGAACTTAAGTCTATATCATCTGTTATTATACTATGAAAAAAAAAGCCACTAATCTTATTCCGGTTTGATAAGCACGGCGAGCGCGTGATAACGCTGCGAAAAACACCAGCCGTCTAAAGCACTCTGTTACAACGTATCTGTTGGACTTTCACCCAAATAAAAAACAACTTTCTCCTAAGAATCCCACAAAGCCTTTCTCCGAGTGTAATGACTTGGGATTTTTTGTGCAGTGGAAACAAATGAAGTAGAGTGCTTCACAAATAGGGCACTACCGTGCCAAACATGGTACGCGGAGAAGTTTCAAAAAATAGAATGCCCACACAATCTATGTCTTTGTGACTTGTACCAGCTTCTTGAGAGACAGAAGAAGCTCTCGCACTTATTTGATAATGAAGAGTAGTTCCTTCCCGCATGAAATACGAAATCTTTTGAATAAACAGCGCTTGGTATCAGGTCATAAAACGATCGACGCTCACGCAAACGACGCAACAGACCCCTGCCAACATCGAATTACACGTATTCCGATCGAGCGCTGCCGTCACTAGACAGGCGCAGACATTGAAACGTGACATTTGGTTCATTCCAAAAACTTTCCACAACTTCATCCTTCCTTCTTGTGCGTTCTTTGTCACGTGAAACCTCCATGCTTAACTCACGGTCTGTGAATGAGAGCGCTTCGAGAACTTGTTTTCATACAATGGAGAGAAATGACACGAATGTCCCAAAAATTAAGATCGAAAAACGAGGCGTTAATCGCCTGACCGAAACAATAAACTTTCCCGTCGTCAACAGTTTTTACTTTTTGACACACATTCTAATCCTACTGAACGTCTGGCGTTCAAAACCGCTTTGCACGAGGGTGTACAACCCTGTCCCCTTTTCTAGCTGTCAAAAAATCCTTCGCAAAAAAGTAACGGTATCACTGGTGAAAAATGTGAGCAACAAAAAAAAACCGGCTCACAACAGCCCCTTGCACAGCGAATTTTATGTCAAGGGAATCAATGTTTTTGAGCGGCTGGAAGGTGCTGATGTGAATCCGAAAACAAAGGTCTCGATACTGAAAAGCAAACACAGCTGCAATACGCTCAATGAATGCGATATCAAATCAATACTCAAATATAGCTCAATACAGTAGGCTACCGCTTAAAAGTACAAAAAGAGCGGAAAACCAAACATAATGGATAAAATGACGATTTCACAGCAGCAAGCTTCTTGTTTTGCTCCACAAATTGATCAAAATTAAATCAACTGAAAAGTTCTAGTTGAAAATCACACGAACCTGCTGACATTTTCTCTCAAATGGGACGGCTCAGCTGGATAGTAGCGAAAGCGCAAGCGAAGGGCAAGAGAATCGGCTGCAATCGAGACAACATTCCACTCCGAAAGCGCACAGTCACACTATTTATGTACAGGAACTAACAAATACTTACACTTGAATTGCTTCGCGATGTGCGAAATCGGTCGAGACAGATCCACCCAATACTGGAAATAATTAAACTGTAGAGAAGAAGAAATGAGACGATTTAGATACGTACACGATGTTTGTTAT